TAGTAGTAGTAGTAGTAGTAGTAGTAGTAGTAGTAGTAGTAGTAGTACTATAATATATATTGCAAAACATAATGCATTATGTTGTTTATGCATTATACAATCACTATAGGGTCACTCTATTGTGGTCCATATATGGAGCGACATGGAGTGTTTGGGTATAGAAGATATGGAAGGAAATTGTTCAAGTACCAAACAAGTGCAGATCTCACTGGTTGAGCGTGTCAAATTTGACTGAATGTGCAGCCACTTTTGGCATGTCTCCTAGTATGAGTTCACTTCCAAGACCTCCCAATCGATGCTGTTTATACCCTATAGCCATCTATAGCCATTTGTAGCCATTTGTGGCCTATAGCCTAAACAGATGGTTTCTTGGCACCTTGTTGTCAGCAGGAAACATCAATTGGAGTTCCAGGTGCCAATTTCACTTGCTGCTTTTCAGGCGGCGTCAGAGAAGCCGCCAGAAGTCCAAATCAAGACTCCGGAGAAGAAAGACCCGGAGGCGTCTTGCACGGAGTATCAAGAAGTTGCAGTTGTCCTGGAGGTTGTGGGAAGTGACCGGAACCCCTTTGAAACCTGGTGGTACCGCCCCGTTATTGTCTCGATGTTTCGAAGTCTTGAACTGACAATTGAAAGCACCATGAATGGATCAAGTGGCTTGGGAGGTCTTGCAACGGACTTCGGACTTTAATCTAAGGGGATTTTGTTTTTTTTGTTGACTATGCGCGATGGACCTCTGTGGTTCCCGACCATATGATCCGGACTTGGAGGTTCCGCACGTGTGCAAAGACCGGTCGGTGTCCGGTGTCCGGTGGGCGGTGTTCTTCCATTTGGATCGTGTGAAAAAGGGTGGTCTGGTGGTTTGTAAAGGATCCTGGTGGCGGTTTTCTGTGTTTCTCTTATTGTGTTGGCTGTTCCCAATTTGCCAGGCAGCGTCAGAGAAGCCGCCAGAAGTCCAAATGGAGACTGCACAAAAAGACCCGGAGGCGTCTTGCAGAGAGATTCGTGATTTTCTAGCGGTTCATCCAAAAACTATCGGGAGTGGGGCCCTAAAAACGCTAAAAACCTCTTTGAAACTGCTGGTACTGCTGTTCTCAGGCATTTGGATGCTTTTGGTATACCGGTATACCAATGTTGTGAGAGTTGCTTCTTTTTAAACAAATGTTTAACGATGTTCATCGGCTGACCCTGCAAACCAGAATTGTTTCCCAGCATGCACGCAGAGCTCACAAATTTGGTTCTTACTAGTACTTCCTTCGTTTGGCTTCCTTGGATAAAGTGACTGCGTGGATATTGTGTGGTTTCTCATGGTTTCTCCCAGTTTCTCCCTATTTGGTGAGAACATGTTTGGGGATATTTTTACTAGGCAAGGCCTGCCCTCTCACAACTGGTTTGCATTCCATGGTGTATGGTAATGCGCTTGAAGTTTGGCGGCTTTGTCTCCCAAAAGATCACATAAGAACCTGGGGGCAGAGCAGGTGTTTCCTGGTCCAGGTGCCGTTTTTGACATTTGTGTTGCCAATTCTCCAGGCAGCGTCAGAGAAAACGCCGGAAGTCCAAATGGAGACCGCAGAGAAGAAAGACCCGGAGGCGTTTTGCAGAGATTCGTGATTTTCTAGCGGTTCGTCCAGAGGTTGTGGGAAGGACCAAACGGCAACTGGTGGTACCGCCCGATCTACTTTTTGATTGTGGTATCACAAAGGGGTGTTGCATTGAGCCGGGCTGTAGCTGGCTGTACCGAGTTGTGTCAAGAAACAGCATGTAGCGGCTGTAGCACCTATTTTGTTCTCAAGCTTTTGGGTGCTTTTGGATGCTTTTGGTATAACGATGTGGTTGCTTGTTTGCTCTTAACGATGTGAATCTGCGAACACTTGGATGTGTGTCGGCTGTCCCTGCTACTGCCAGGGGGTTCATTGCAGCTTTTCAGAAAGACTCATGCTTTTAGATGACTCCCTTTGGTGAGTTTGGTGTATGATGAAGTGACGACTTCCTTTGGAGACACTTGCGCGGCACAATGTGCCATGAAAACCAGAATTGTTTCCCAGCATGATTTAGAGTTCACAAATTTGTTTCCTACTAGTAATTCCTTTGTTCGGATTCCTTGGATAGAGTGACCATATTGTGTGGTTTCTCATGGTTTCTCCCACTTTCTCCCTATTTTGTGAGGTCTCGTTGGAGAGATCATGGTTTTGGATATTTTGGGTAAACAAGGCAAGTTCTCCCACAACTAGTTTGCTGTGACTTCACATTGTGATGCCACAGTGTATGGTAAAGAGCTTGGAGTT